AGGTAGGCCTGGACAAACAGTAGGCACCTGGCCTGGCCGATTTTAGGCCCAGACGATGCACCAGGACTTGAGCCTGCAGCTAGGACCACCAATCATTGGTTAGGTTGGATGGCCCAAGATGCAGAGCGGTAGGACCTCTCATAGCCCCAGAGGTATTTCGCTGGCCAGTACGGGACCAAAGGCTGTCAGTGTTAGAGAACTTAGTGTGGCAACTGGCTGTTGGAGAGAAGCACTGGGTTGAAGCAAGGATTAGCACATTAGAGTCAGCAGAGCTAGGAGGAGGTACTGTCGAGAGCGGACGTCCACAGCAGCATTGGGGAGAAAAGCAGTTACCTGGGGGCCATAGCTGGGAGACTCCATCGGCAGTTGCCGGGCTTCACTCTGCAATCTGCTGCCATTCAAGGCGATACCATCCATCGGTCAGTATCAGACACACACACACACACACACACAGAGCTGTCTCTTATACACATCTAGATGTGTATTGGGAAGCGCCAGACCCCCTTCACACCAGATAACGATGATGATGATGTGTGTTCAGGGCTGCATTGCAATATTGATTGTTCGGATCATTCGTGTCTAAGTCTTCCGATGTGCTATCTTATACTTTGTATTGAAAGGTCGGTTCTTGTTCTGGTCTGCACGTTACAGTATGCAACAGTTGTCCAGCCTACCTCTCTCACCTCATTCCTCCCGCTCCCGTCCTCCCAACTCCCTCCGTCCCACCTTCTGCCATAGCCCATCCTCCACGCACCACCTTTTTCCACCTCGAACCTCCGCGGCTATGGCCACCTCCTTCCTCTTCCTAACCCTACCTATGGTTGTCTTCTCCCTTGTCGGGCGCCTTCACCTTCAGCACCACTCTCTGTCCAAGTTGCACTATCGCAAAAGCAACCAGCAGCACTTCCGCAACTTGTGAATGAACAACTGAAGTTCCATTGGCACTGTAGCAGCTATAAATACAACTGGTAGACTTGTGTTGCCTGCTCCAGACAGGTACCGTTCACGCGCGGCCTGACTGCTATATCTTTTTGTCATTCCCCGGACCTGTCGATACCGGTAGACTTCTACGGACCTGCAACGCTTCGACTTCCGAGAGCACCGGACTGCAATGCTTCGACCTACACAGAGACCCCTTCAGGACTCTATCGACCCTGGGACCCAACCTATTGGGACCTAGCAGGCCTGGGACCATTTGGGACTGGGCCCAATTGGGACTCTGGGACCGTGACTCGAGACCTGTGCGAGGTGAAATCCTTTCACTTTGGTTGCCTCCCTTTGAACTGAAGCACGCAGCTACCCCTCTTTGAATGTTTGCTTTTCTGGAAGAAGAAAAAAAAAGCTTGCTTTTGTGTTCCCTTTTTTCTTTCGAGGAGCTGTTATATTTAAATTTTAAAAGTGTACCACAGGCACCTAGGCTAGCAGAGTGAACTGCAACCACTTGCCAGGCCGAGAAAGAAAAAACACAAAACTGAAAGAATCAGGGGGGGGGAGACGATTCATGGTTTCATCTGGGTGTGAGGTGTGCTCGAGTTCTGAGAAGATTGGGTGGTTATCCAGTGCCGAGAACTCACCTGGGCGTGAGGTCTGGTGGTATTCTAGGAAGATTGGGTAGCTCTGTGGTTGTACTCCCTCGCTTAGGCTTTCAGGAATTTCTTGGACTCTCTCAGCAATTTCTTTCTGAATAGTCGCAAGCCGAAGTTGGGTAATGGCCCCGGTATCTCACATTGCTTCTTAAACCACCAGTACATGGCCCATATGTCGGCCGCGGGGCATTGTCGTTAACACCCCGCAAGTTTCGAAGGCTCAGGCTACCCGACCTGAAAGGCTGACGCTGCCAGCCAAAACAATTTATTTTGGTTTCGCTGGCAGGTCGGCGCGAAACTAGCGCAGCGCGTATTCAGGCTCGGCATCGATAGCTGGGCCAAGTACTGGTGGTTTAAACCACCGGTCCATCCGAAGCTAAATTGATGAGCCAAAGGTTAGAATTTTTCCGAGTCTAGAATCCGCACTGCCGTCCTTTGAAAAAAATGTGCAGTTGCCCTTCGCCACCAAGCCTCTACCGGGCCTCGGCACTGTAGATTTTGGCCCGGTACTCGTGTATGAGCAAAATCTGAAGTGCCATCTGCAGTTGGACTGGTGTTTGAATCGTGCTGTGCGAGTTGATATGGAATGCTGGGCCCGGTTCATCGTGCTGTGCGAGTCCATATGGGACACTGGGCCCGGTACGCGGCATGTGCTCCTTCCCACGAATAGATTGGACCATTAAAAAGAAACAAGTCGAGGCGCGCCGCGGCCAACGATTATCGCCGAACAGGCCCGTGATTGAATGCAACTCGAGGGCACAGGCAATGCCATGTGGGTCGGGCAATATCATGGGTAGCGGGCAGTACTATGCGGGGCATCGGGGTTGCTATGGGCTGCTACGGACTGCTGTCCACCTTCAGGGTGGCTATGGGCCACTATTCACTTTTAGGGCTGCTATGGGCCACTATGTACTTTGGGATGCTATGCTCTTTTGGAGCTGTTATGAGCCACTATGTACTTTTGGGGCCGAGCAGGCAGAACGGACCGAGCTATGTACTTGTGTTCGGACGACGGGCTATTAGGCCCTGCAATTGCACTTGTGCTTCGTTCGAAAACAGCAGGCTATTACGACCTGCATTCGCACTTGTATTTCGAACGAACAGCCTGTTAACTCTTCCCGCGGATGACATGCACAAACAACAAAAAACATAGCAATGTATCTTTCCACGTTCTGGCAGAGGATCCACTCTCATTTGGAGAGTAGTGCAGCAAGGCCCAAAAGCAGCGCCTGCACTTGTATTTGAAACTAACATCCCATTGACCATCCCTGCACCAGGATGCCCTGTCAGATACATGCAGGCACGGCATTTATTTTTGTTTGTTTTGGCAATTCATCGTCATATGGCGGTAATCGCGGTACAGATACGCAAGTTCCAGTGTCGGTATGCCCTGCACTCTTCCGTGTCATCTGGTGATCTCAAAACAGGCAAGTGTTCTTTCCACTCAGAACGGGCCTCGTTTCAGATCCATACAGGCAGGGGTTTCTTTTTTTTTTGGGCAATTCAACATCGTGGGGTAGTAATGGCAGTCAATACATTTTGGCAAGTCCATCTGTCAGTATGCCCCAAGCTCCTCTTTCCACTCCTAACAGGCCGGTAAAACAACAAAAGCAGGAGCAAACAACGACAAAAGCGAAAGTAGGAAATGACATGGAAAAAGAATGAAACAACAAACACAAACCCGCGGCGGGATTCGAGCCGCTTGCCTCTTCATCCAGAAATGGTCAAAAACAAAAGAATGCGCGCCGCAGAAAATGGGACATCCAGGACTTTGGGAAATCCATTTTGTTGGGCCCATTGGTAGCGTCTTACGGGGCGCGGCTTATGCTTTAAGTATATAGTAGAGTAGATAGAAGAAGTAGAAATAGAAGTAGAAATAGAAGTAGAACTAGAAGTAGGAAAAGATAGCCAGGGACCCGGTCTACCTAAGTGGTCAACTCATCAGTCAGTTGGTGCCTCAAGATCTGTGTGTGAGTTCAAACCCCAGTTAAGCCTCACCAGCGCTGCCTGGCTTCTCCAGTAATATATGTGTGTGGGTTGGTGGGTGGGTGGGCTGGCAGGCGGGTGCATGTGCGTGTGGGCGGGCGGGTGCGTGTCTGTGTGTGTGGGCGTATGTGTGGGCGTGTGTGTGGGCAGGCGGGCTGGCGGGTTCGCTTCACTCTGCTGCACGGAAAAAAAAAAGAAGCCACACTGGGATTTGGAATTTCGGTCAGTGCATTAAAAAAACAAGCAGGAACCACAAAAACGAAAAAGGCAGCAGCGGCAAGATTGATAAGGCGTGGAAAATGAAGACGTGGTGCCGAGATTCGAACTCCGGTCTACTGTGCTGCACAGAAATGACAAAAAAAATAAAAATAAAGAAACAAAGCGTGGAATTATGCATGGGCTTTCCCTTTCGGGAAACGTCTCCCCACACACTCTTACACACTTTCCCGTTTAGGCAAATTTCTCCGCACACCCCCTGACAACCTGGCACTCTCTGACACGTTATCACACAACCGACATTCGTTCTGCACGTTTTTAAATCTTCTGCTTCTCACTATCCACCCATTACCAATCCACACCACCAGGTCTCAACAAAAGAAAGCTTTTCAGGGCAAATCCCGACCGGCCGTTCCAACATCCGACGATGAAAAAAGGGCCATGAGCACCAGGGTCGGACCCCCGGCTGATATACTTTGGGCATCCTTAGACACTCCTCGAGGATGTGAAATCCACAAGGACGCGCTCGTTCCACCTGTCCTTGGGGATGGAACTTTAAAAAAATGTGAAAACACCACAAGGAAAATCCCTTGTGGCGTCCTTGTGGCCCCAGCCAATTTTTCATTATCCCCAAGGGGCCTCGCGAGGTCCTTTGGAGCTCAAGGAATCGCGATTCTTGGAGTGACGAGGACATGCACTGACGGAGAGTTTTGGTTTTTCAGTGGTTCATACGTGGTCCGACGGCGTAAGCAAGGACATCCCCACACTCCAACGTCCGCCCCAACGGACTCCAACGGTTACCGTTGGCGCACGGCCTCCGCGGGTGGCGTTGTCGTCTTCGGTCAGCGTCATGCGGTCTCCGGCGCTCGAGGGACATCTGCAAAGGTCGGTCCATTCAAATATTTTCCGCGGCGGCGCCTTGAGTCCATCGACGGAAGCTCTTTCTGCACTCACGTCGTATTCCTCGCGTGTCGTCATGTGCTGCACGTCCGACAACACTCCTTCCTTCGCTCCCCTCTCTGTCGTTGTGTGCTTGACGTCCGACAACAGACGTGGCATTGTGTGTGTGAGGAGATGACGACAAAAAATTGTATTGGCGCAAAATAACATATACAACCATAACAAAGACGAAGGTTTGTTGTCGCACAAACCAAGCGCAATACCTCAAGCGCAATACCTTTGTCGTGTTGTCATCCCACACATGGGCATACGTAACCCTCAAACCATTTGTTCAACATACCATCACATTGCATTCACGCATGCGATTCATTCAAAGACTTCCGCAACCCAAAATATGAAAGCACAACGAAAACACAAAGAAGATACCAAGCGAAGCACTTCCTAGGAGCGGCGACCACACACCATAGCTCATCGGCAAAACGACAGTTGCCACGTGGCTGGCTGCGCATAAAAAACAGTGTCGATGGCGACGGAGGTCATGTCCATGGACATGGGTCACTCGCGTTTCATGCGCTCTGCCAAAGCATCCGGGCGGGCAAACGCCTCGCTGGTCGAAGTCTCAACACACACTGGCCGAAGAGGGCATTGAATGTCGAGGTCCATACGTTGCAGCACCCCATTCGCTTCCACCTCCCACAACAGATTCTCATCGAACAAAATGCCAGCATCGATGAGAATGATGTGGATCGTACAAACGGCAACGAACTGCTGCAGGACCGTCTCAAGGTTTGTCTTGTGTATTCGCAGAAACAGCCTCCACATACCCTTCAGCCTGCGAACCCCCTCTTCACAGCTCCTCTCACCACCTTGCTTGTTGTCGAAGCGCTCCTCATCTGTGTGCTGATTGATGCCTCCGTACGCGGCCACTATCCATTTCAACGAGGGATAGCCATTGTCGCCCAGAAGGTAGCCGCTCGTTCGCACCCCATGCGAGAGAATCACAGGAGGACCGCGGAACAACGACCCAGCCTCTGCGCACGCCCACAAACTGGAGAGTTGAAGCACCCTCATGTAGTGGCAACTACTTCGGTATCCGACCTGCACCTTCAGCACACACAAGTCGAGGTCGACGATCACCTGCACGGTGATGGAGAATCACCTCTTCCTATTGTACTAGTTCTCACTCAGGGCGTTCCCCAGCTTGTCCACGTAGATATGAGTGCAGTTGATGCATCGGTGGCAGTTAGGGAATCCTATATCAGCAAACGCTCACAGGACGACGAGCTTTCGCACCCCCGTCGACCAGGCAATGTTGTCAGCGTACACCCTCAACAGTGCGGCAGTGAAGTCACGCACAGCAACGAGGCTAGAAGCTCTGCCGATGTCTAAGTTGCAGGTGTTGCTCTCGTACGTCTCCCCCAACACCCACATGTAGAGCGCATACGCCACAATCTGGTCGGGCTGCAGCGACTCTCTATAGAACGTCATCTGCCACTGAAGACGAGGTGCACACGCCTTCGCGATCTCCCGGAACACTCGCAGCGACATGCGCAGCTTCTCGCGGAAGAAGTAATTTGTGGCGTATCCATATTGTCGAAGGTCTTCCCACGTTTGATCCACCACCATCCTGCGTTTGATCCACCACCTCAGCGTCGCTCGTGGAATGATCCCTACATATTCGCGTAGCACAGTGCAACGCTTAGCACATCTGAATGACAACCCAACGCGTAGCACAGCAGAATGACAACCCAAAGCGTAGCACAACTGAATGACAACCTCTGAAGTCGCCATATATACAGGGTCGTCATTTGCAACTTGCCTCAACATCCTTCTCCTGCACGCACGCAGATGCGCCTTCATTCGCCCCACGCCCTATCCTTCTGACAATGAAGATCAACAATAGACAAGGCTGCCGCCACGACCGTCCTCTCCAGTGGTGTCAACAGCGCACACCCGACCTCTCCACCACCCTCCATTGCAAACACTTCGATAGGAGTGACGCGTTTCTACTGTCGTGACAGTCATCGCCCCAAGGAGACTTCTGCAAAGTTGCCGCCTTTGGGACGACGGCGCTCTCGTCGCAGATCTATGTTGAACGGCACCATCAACGACCCATGCGTCGATGGCAATGGATGCAAGCACAGTGCACACGTACACACAACACTACCTTTCTCGGGAAGGAATGCCACCACTAAGCCTGATTCGCCAGTGGCCCGTCTTCGCACCGCCAGCCGATTGTCGTCATCTTCACCATGAGCCCTACTTCAAGATTTGACTTTCAAATGCAGGGTTCCACTACTTTTTATTTTCTTTTTCGTGGCCTGGCCTTGCCCTTCGTTTGGAAACGTCGCGGGCAAGCCACAAGGAAACATTCTCGGGGGACTTCCCCGAGGATATGTGGAACGAGGCCGCAAAATTTCCTTCAGAGCTACAAGGAAACTTCCTTGTAGATCGAGGAAATCGTAAGGAGTGTCTAACGACACCCTTCATCTTTCCCCGATCATAAATCATGGTTATAACAACTGCATTTAGGCCAATTTTCGACCAAGATACAAAGGTAAATTGATAAGGGTAGTGGCTTATGTCCAAGGTAAGATGGTCGTCATCAGACCAACAATGAGTCCACGAGAGCAGAGAGGGAAGGAAATCACTTGTGAGGATTGAAAAACCTTCCAATAATGTGGAAGATAATGGTACACACGTGACCATTGAAAAAAAGATCATGAGTTTGAATCCTGATGGCATCAGATGGATGCAATAAAGTTAGGGGCAACCCCCTAATAATTAAGTACCAGTACGGGAGATCCAAAGTTCTGAACCTATTTTTTTTCGTGCCCAAAACCTGTGTTACCAACTGGGCCGTCTGGATCACCTTGGTTGCCCAAGTGGCCCGGTCAGGCAAGGGCCAGAGAAGTTCTTTTGCAGACCGGAAAAACAATGTTGTGAGAAAAATAAATTGAAGAACTTTTGCCTTCGGGTCACATTGAGATTCTTTGCTCAATTAGAAGTAAAAAACTAAATTGAAAATTAAGGGAAAGTTTGTCTGGCGCCCCTGTATTTTCCATTATTTTGCATTGCGCCCCTCCGACGACCGATTTACCATGTCGCGCCCCTCTCACCACAAGTTGAATTTTCCATAAAACCCTGGTGTCGTTTGGGCTTCATATGTTTTCATAGTGCCCCTACCGGTACCCACACCGAATTTGCAGCATGCCCCTACCGAATAGCCGTTGGGAAAATTTTTGATATGCCACTACAGGCACCATCGATCTATTAATCAGGTAAGTCTCCAACCTCGCGGCTGCCCTCGCTAGAACATGGAAATATACACTGCCACACTTGTTTGTGTGTGTGTGTGTGTGTGTGTGTGTGTGTGTGTGTGTGTGTGTGTGTGTGTGTGTGTGTG